TCTACACAAATACAATGATACCAAATATTTTAACCACCTAATATTAAAAGTTTTACAATCTTGGCAACGAATCACGAAAACAGCAAATTAAAAGGAAGACTTTTATGTGTTGTGTCTAGCTGTCTGCAGCACAGCTTGCGATCACACCGTTACCACGTGATCACAAAGTTACCATGACAACTTGGTTACATGACAAAAGGTCGACAAACATGGCTATTGTAACATGGTGTGAGTACTAAAATAGAGAGCTTTGTAACAATACCAAAATAGTGCATTGTAGTGCATTGTAGTGCATTGTAACAACACCCTCCATGTTATAATGACGTCACGAGATATTATTATGAAGTCTGGAAGTTGGGTGGAAGTTGGGATTGTAAGGGACATAACTCTCAAGTACAATGGTCTGATTTGTACAAGTCGGGAAACTTCTGGAATACATCACCCTCAGTTGACAGCTCTATTCCGACTGAGATCACGGTATGTTCAGAGCAGCGGGCAAAATCCAAGGGAAGTTATAGGCTTGAATACGTGTCAATACAGAGTACATACTGGTGTGAAATAGCAAGAGGAGGTGTTATTTTCAGTAACCACGGACAAAGATTTGGAGGATTTAATTCAAAGAAATAGGATTTAAGAAGGTCTTAAAAAGCTGATTGATAATTTGAAGAACTAGGATCTAAGGAGTTCTGAGAAAGCTGTTGAATAATTTATATAACTATAAGCAACCATGAACTAATAAATGTCACAACTATGTGGGCGTATCAGTTTGTCAATGGCGAGAATTAGCATTAATCGAGACAAATTTAAATAAAATTCTCTGAAAATAATTAGTCTCGGAGTGGTTGAGAACACAGCTAAAGAGGGCAGTACGTTACACCCTTACGCAGTTCACCTCACCCACTCCCCACTAGTTGACCTCACCCACTCCCCGCTGACGGAGGGTTACTTCGTGGGTGGGGCCAGATTAACTACAACTCAGAGAGGCGTCAATATTACCATACTTGTTAAATAATCCCAGTCAAAGTAAATGAGCATATTAACAAACGCACTAACGCAAAGGCTCTTTAACTTTATTTTATGAGTCAATCCAAGTCAAGATCTGAGGAGCTGGGAGGGATGTGGTTTGCTGCGGAGTGTTTAGTTAAAGCAAGGAATTAGAGGTGGATTATTAGAGGTGGTTTATTAGAGGTTTGTTAGAGGTGGTTTAATCGTGCAGGTAGATTGCTATTTCACAACATTTAGATTAGTGTGGATCTAGGGGATGTAGAGGGTAGATGTAGGAAATGTAGACAGTAGAGGGTAGATTAAGGGAATGTAGAGGGTAGATGTAGGAAATGTAGACAGTAGAGGGTAGATTAAGGGAATGTAGAGGGTAGATATAGGAAATGTAGACAGTAGAGGGTAGATTAAGGGAATGTAGAGGGTAGATGTAGGAAATGTAGATAATATATTAAGGGGAGGTAAAGCGTAAGAAAACAGGCTGGAAATATTTTTGACTCCGGCTAGACGTAAAAATGCAGAGAATGAGAGGTACTGGAAGTGTACCAAAGAATGCGGTGGATATATAGGGTGTTTTTATGAAGGAGCAATCTATATATATATTTGTTAAATAAGTGCGGACATGTGCAGGTTAGCGGATGTCTGAATTGCTTGCGGAGGTCTGAAAGTTGCTAAATCAGAGACTGAAATAAACTGAAACAGTAAGTTGTGTACTTCATAGCAACAACTGTCTTAACTTTGTTACATATTATGTATGGGAGTTCTATTTTTCTGATTTGTTTTTTAGATAGGTCACTCCGCAAGCAACCAGGCACCAGGATTACTATTTCAGACCTTATCGATCAATAACATTTAAGAGTAGTAAACTTCAAACCCTAAACGCTACATGACACAAGTAAATATATAAACCTAAACAAAAATGTAAAAGTTGTACAAAGAATAAAGTGTCGAGCAAAGTAAATTTAGATGTCACGAAAGTGAGATGTAGTTTTAAAGAGCGGCTCACGAATCAATCGAATTTCGTTAAATGTTAAAAGTATATTTTTAAAAGCAAATTTTCAAAATTCCACCACAAAGAAAAGGTTCAAATATTTAAAATGACCAGTAATTTTTCTTTAGCAGAGTTAGTGAGTTTACTACAGCTTCGTTACCAGAAAGGCTTATTATTAAGAAACGTCAAGTAAACTGAGATGAACCGCTTACTACTAAGCCCAAAAATAGGCTTGGTCAAGGAAGTCGACTGTATGCTTTGGCAAACACTTGTGTGGTCTTTAATTATCTAAACTTATTCCTACCCTGTATCCTTCTTCAATTATGGCACTAAAAGTAACATTCATCAAATCTAATCTTAAGTACCCTGTACCTATTCATATCTCAAGTGTTCACAAGGACTACACAATGACGCACAAAATAGAGTTCCGAGGATGGACTATAGGATGGAGCGGACTATTTTAAATTCTCACGAATTCAATGCGAGGAGCGTTCTTCTTCTAATTGTTAAGCAGCCAATACTGTCCGCAGGATGCAGGAGTAGAAGGTAAGAAAGCTGCACAGGGGACACAGAAGTGTGCATTAAGTGTGCTGGCATTTGTTAACGATATAAGCAAGTAAAGACACACCTTCCAAATATCTGTACACTGAAGTTTATATGAAGCTCATTAGTAAAGAGTATAATATATAAAGAAAAGTGGCATTAGTATAGAGTTTCTCGTGGGACTGATCGATCGAGGAAATCAGGATTTAATGAAAGAAAGTAACAAAGTTTACTCTGTTGTATCCCCCTACCCCCTTTTTTCCACAGAAGCGATTGCTAACTCGCCGATGGAGCCTCCGCCTTCCGGAAAAGGAAATTCTTCAGTCAAAAAACCTCGTAGTTCATACGGAAATTATTATAGACAATATAAATATTCAATCATGGAATTTCAGGGCTTTATTAACGCAAAATCACGATAAGAAGCCAACTGCAGTGCGGAAGGGCACTCCAAAAAGTGAAACTGAACTTTGTTGCACATTTTAAAAGCGGAACTAAACTATCTATCTCCATTTCAACGGGACACGATAGCACATCTTTTTGAATATCCCTGAATAATTTACAGCTCTGACATCTCCACTGAATATGCAGCTGCAGGGCGTGAACTGGCAATGCATACAATTTGTCGCGGGAAAAGTTTCACACTTGAATGTTTTCTAGTGACCTACAATTACACCTGATAATACGTGGCAGAGCATGCCGGAATGAGAGGTAGAGTTTGAAGACCAAACACCTGATTACCTTATTTGGAAGTCAGTTTTAAAAATGCGGAAGTTTGCGGTCCATTAAGCATACCAAGTGGTCACGTGGTTGAGATATTCGGACGTTATTTCAGTGACGCACGTGTGACAAACGTTTGATAAGCTGCGTGAAATACGCTGGATAAAACCACGAGTTAAGCCTATAACAGTAAACGTACAATGTTACAACTCGGTAAATACGTAAATATAGCAAGACTAAGTTCTAACACAGCATAAAATTACAGTGGTCTAAGATGGAACACTGTCACTGCAATCAGTTACACAGTTACACAGTATGTATTGAATGGACCATTGAAGGGCGCTAGCGGGAAACGTCCTCGTTTTAAATTGCCGGGTTGGTATTTCAGGAAGCCTGACTTATCTCGGAGAGCGGCAGAATCAGCGTCTGGTGCACCCGATCAGGGGAGCGGAAGGGAGGGACACAAACAATATGAATACGAAGAGAGCTGAATAAAATGTCGAACAAACCAGCATTTTGTCATTGTACAGATTCCCAGTACTCGGTCCTGACTTGCAGGCACAACCTCCCCCCCTGCTCCCGTCATGACATACTAGTTCTAATTTTACTCAAAGATAAAACATTACATTGTTAAGATTTCAAGAATGTTGTTTTCCCAAAACGGCCATCATGAGACAAACCAAATACAGCGCGGCAAACCTAAAATATCGCGTTAAACTATATGATAAAAACTCAACACTTAGCAGTACTCCGGAGAGGGAGGATCTCACTGTGCATACTGATGTAGACAATAGGTTTTGTGAGTTAAACCTAACGAGTGTGGACCCAGCCCGAGAAGAGACGAGAAGCCCAGAAAGCTCGAGAACAGACCTGAGTACGGCAGGAGGGGGGAAGTTTAGTTGTAATGATTCAGAGTCAGATTGTATCATGGTTTGAGATGATGCGGTGTCAAAATGTGGTTATCAACAATTTGGTAATGTTGTCTGTTTGACAAGTTTTCTGTGCCAACTGCACCGTGGAAATGATATCATAATATGTCTGAGTTCTAACCGTGGCTACAACGGAAACTAACGAGTAAAACTACAGGTAAATGAACTTTGTGAGTTTAACAAAGGAAACGTATAATGGTTCAGTTCACAATTATAATATCCATGCTGTTATTGGCATTGTGCGCTGTTTGTGCTCTGTTTGTGCGCTGTTTGTGCGCTGTTTGTGCGCTGTTATTGGCATTGTGCGCTGTTCTATGTATAATTGTATAATTGTGGGGTGGTGCCTGAAATATCACTGAACTTTAGTGTGAGGGCTATTTGAACGATAATCTCAGATTAAATTTTGTTGATAATTTTAATAAGGCATTAGGGGGCCAAGATAATTGTTTCTCGTTATTTTGCAAAAATTATAATTGACATTCGTTCTGAATTACGTCATTACGCATACATGTAAAATTACAACTGTCAACTTTCCAACTGTCAACTTTGAAACTCCGTTTATGGTATGCAGTGTTTAAGGTATGCATAAAAGAATTCATTGCACAAGATTTTTAAAATTCTCTAGCTTCCATATTCGCAAATTTAATCTGTGCGTTCTACATCAATTAAAATTCGAACTCAAGTGGCATATTATAAATCACTTATAGTGATGTTCAAGCCAACATTTTCAAATGACAGTTTTTAGGGTGTCAACCCCCGCCCACCATGACCTACCTTGGTTTCCCTGTTTAACATTAATGATCCCAAAATAAATAACTCACCTTGTCGACAAAAACACTGTTCCCATCTTCTTCTTCTTCTTCAGCGACTTGATCCGGGAAATTAACAGCTACCGGCGGCTTCTTCTGCTGAGCTCTGGAATTTGAATGTTTTGTCAATATTCAGTCAGTGGTAAGATATACGTTTTAATTGTTTGTAGAAATGGGGGAGGAGGATATTAATTTAACAACCGACTCTAGAAAAGGAATGGTGAGCAAATTGGCATTTTAATATCAGTATAATCCATCTAAAAGCCATTACGATGAATAATTGGTAAACATTGCCTTTTTTAATTTCTGCAAAATTTCGCTACGGTTGGTTGAATGGAGTGTCATATTGGGCGTGATTTAGGCGACACTAAAGTCACACCCACGCTAAATTCGTGGCAGGGAAGCTAATTAAAGTGCACGCAGGAGTTGACGTTAAATGTTGTAATTTTGTTTCGTTCAGACCACACAGAGCTGTCAACAAAACCGAAATGTGACGCACAACACTAGAAACGCTATTTGTAGTGGGTAGAGTTTTGAGGTCATCACCGTGTTATATAACTTGTTTCTTTTACTTTTGACAACGTCAAGTAAAGTGGATGAATTAGAAGTTGTTATTTGGGGTTTTGGGGTCATCACAAAATGTAAATAAAATCCAGTACAATGTAAAAAGTGGAACAGTAAAGTAGAAAAACAAAACGTTAGTTAATGAGGATTTTAGGTCGTCAACAAACATGAATGTAGTACAGTTTATTTTTAAAAGCGTAAGTGAAAAAGTCAAGTAGAAAATAAAGAAAAATTGCTGATTACAATATATCCTTGTGTTTGAAATTTGAATAGAGGTAGACTACTTACGTTCTATTGAACATGTTGATCGCATTGATGGAGGCTTTTCTGATTTCAGGTCTTTTAACTTGTGTGGGAGTTACGACAGCATTTTCATTCTGAGGCTGCAAAAATAAATTGTCAGAAAAGCAAGCATTTTGATTAGAGTTCCAGAAATTCAGTAATATTTTAGGGAACGAACTTTCCCTCCCTCAACATTTCACCAGTTGTTGCCGGATTAAATTAGAGACTGGTTGTGGGTAGATAAATGGTTAGAGTAACGGAAAATATTAGCTGTCAATTGCTGGGACACATGTTGAGGGACATGTGTTGATGGAGGGAAAGTCGCGAACCCACATTTGCATCATGAAAATTCACAACGCTTAGAACAACGCCAATACATTAAAAATACACTAGAAGGTGGAAGATAATTAGCTATAACTCAAAGCTAGAAGAGATTGCTGTCACCACTAACTGATTACAACCGCAAATGATAGCACCCCGTATTATAACCCTTACACAGGTGTTTATTTAAACGTTATAGGAACAGCGTGACAGTCAATTTCAGTGATTCAAGGAGATAATCCAATGTCTCGTGACAATGATCTAGATTTATCGTTATGCATACGAATAGCGCCTGGCGGCAATGTTATTACGATACTGATCGATACATTAAAAGACTTCAGCCTAGCACCAGTTTTAATATTGTAGACATTGTCTTCGGACGGTTATATCTAATGAAGGGACCTGTTATCAGATTCTAGACTAAGGTGCACCCGAACAGCCAGGTATAACAATAAACATTGTAATGCACAATACGGACTTCGCTTGAACTTTTCGATCCTCTTTTAACGAAAAGTGAGAAGAAAATAAATTACGATTAGATACAAGATTCCTCATCTCATGATGTTGAGGAACAGCTACAAAGCAGGTTCCGTTAGAGGTCGTTCACATATTACGTAATCAGGTTTTGGACAATTTGTAACCCCCCCCCCCTCCCCCTCCGTAATCAGTTTTACACATAGCTATTGTGTACAAATTACAATAGTGTAATCATTTGGAAACCCCCTTTCCCCTCGGCTGATTACGTAATATGTGAAAGACCCCTTATTTGTCTTGCCCATAGGTTTCCAATTCAGCCTCCGAAAACATGTATGATTATGAGGCATAAATCTAAAGACCGAAGTAGTAAGTTGCACTGTAAGTATTGGTGGGGAGCATCACGGCTCTCAGCAATACGTGTGACAAAATCAAATAGAGCGAATAACTTAACTATTATGAACCAGTAAATAAATAGTACAACCAACATTTCAGCACGCAGTTGCCTTTTACTAAGGTCATGACTAATGATTACGAATCATTTGTTATAAAATTCCTAACATTTTTAAGTTATTTGATAACCTCCTTCATGATGAAGATGACATCATGATTGAACTCATCTACCTTTACAAAAGAAAGTGCTCAGAATTTATAGCAAACCCAGAATGTTGGTGCTCTAAAGATAGCGATACTGCGAAAGGTGGATATCGTCGAGCAATTTGGCCCTTCGACAGTTTGACTGTTTTTGTGCCGTGTCCAAAGAGACAGAAAAAAATGAGGTTTCACGTACAGGTAATCACATCATGCGTTCAATTCCGTTTCAAAGAGAACCATTTCCTGCAATTATTAAGCATGCTGCCTGCCTGCACAATTTTGAATTTGAAGCATGATAATAATCAACGTAACGCGCGCGTCAAGCGCCGCGCTAATCTAATTGAAAGCGCAGTGTAGACCACAAATTGCGAGCTCGCGAGCCACGACTTTGTCTTATTTTGAACTCCTAGTGTCCCATAAACTAGTTAGAACTGCGCTAAATCTAATTTCTCTCACACTGAAGCCATGACCCTATGGTGAAGCCTTTACTTAGCCGCTTCATTCAGGTTATTTCCATGAACATTCTCAAGTTGGGGCCAGCATCGCTAATTTAAATCGTTGGTAGAAGAGAGACTTTAAAATTACGCTAGACTGTTGCACATTTAGCCTTGCGTTTTGTGAGTGTTAAATTCAGCGGAAATTCACGAAAGAATTTCTTTGAAGAATAATATTAATATTCAGACACATAATCTCCTTAACTTCGTACACAAACGTTAAGTCACGAGAAATCAAGATTTGTGGCCACCGCGGCACCGCCGTTTTAATGTTTTGTTACGACAATCATTCACCGACCCAGTCATTGAAACGTGACACGAAGCATCCTAATCACAGGACGGTAAAGAGTGCAAATAGTTAACATTCCACAGAAGGTTTATACAGTACGTGATATTTTATTTTTGTAATTCACTTTTCTCGAAGTATTGGGTCCTACTGCATATTATGCAACCTTTCAATTCGATTATCCTGTACATAGTTCCTAAACTAAAAACATCACATGCGGCCTTTCTTCAGCTTTCACATTTCAGGTTATTTTTATAGAGGGTCTCAGTTTACAAGTATTTATATACCCAAGTTAAGCGTATATTCATTCAGACTTTTACTTAAGTCTAGTTATACATTACTATATCATATATTATCGAACTAAGGTGTAGTATTGCCAGATCCAAGTTCATTTTGTAACGGAGTTTTATATTAACAGAAACGATGTAACAGAGTCGATATATTTTAATGTTGCCATGGGGTGGCAAGTCCCCATACATCGTGGTCCGGTAGTTTCATTGCGTCCTAATATAATGCAATCTTGTCACCGACCAATGATTAATAACTGTGTAATGGGATATTATATGATAAATAATTGTGGGGATAATGAGTTAAATTAAGATTACACTTGTCCTCAAACGAATCAAATTAAGATACATTTCCTCTGCTTACATATCGATATCAATATTATCAGATAAGGGTATTTGTGAACAATTACATAGTGCATGGTAGGTCAATGTCACCAGTTTGACCTATTCATATTCTTCACTAACAATGGAGGTAATATTAGAAGGCACCTGGCACAACCACAAGGGGACCGTTCACATATTACGTAATCTTTTTTTACGATTTTTACCCAATATTAATGTACAGATGCAGGGTTATCCAGAATTATTGTACATTCTGCAGAATTTTCCAGCTAATATTCCTCCGAGAAGTGTGATGTTTTTAATAAACTGAACAATTATATTATTGTAGTTTTACTGCCTCTCAATGTGGAGTATATTTGATAAGTGCGGCATAAAGGCAAAGTAGCGTTGAGTAAAAATTAGCGCCAAAGAAACCATATAGTTTTAACATTAGTATGGTTACTTGTTTTCTTCTGCTTTCACCTTTCGGGTAATTTTCAGTTATTATTAGTTATACACTGTAATGTTTACACGGAAACATTAAATGTATCAAATAATAAAACTTGTACACTCTTCTAATATTCCATTACATAATACATATTTTATTAAAAAGGGGTGATGTTTGTGATATTTTGGATGAAATGGCTGTTTATTTCAGCAAAGGCGACGTGGGGCTTCAAAACCGGCCGAGTATGAGAAATAAGCAGTTCCAGAGAACCCATAATAGTTAGTATGGTTTAGCTGACCGCGTCACACCACGTGACACGATCCAGGGCGGAAGTGGTTATTCCCTTGAGAATAACACATGATAACAAGTAATTCTTATATCACCTGGGATCAGCACTGCACAATATCCTCTGACAGTATCCTTTTATTATTTACTACTACCTACTTAGACAATATCCCTGTCTAGTGTCTACTCTCATTGTCAAGCTACCGTGTGACACTTGAGTAAGTGTTCGTACCGAGCAGTTTTTCTCAAGAAGAAGAGTTACTAAACCTGAAGGAAGACCAAGAAAGAAGGAGGGCTGTATTTACATGGGTTCTGTTTGAACTTTACACACTGAGTTAGATACTGACCGTTACACAAAGAGAAAACTACAAGACAGCTACATTTGCTACAAGACAGCTACATTTGCTACAAGACAGCTACATTTGCTACAAGACAGCTACATTTGCTACAAGACAGCTACATTTGCTACAAGACAGCTACATTTGCTACAAGACAGCTACATTTGCTACAAGACAGCTACATTTGCTACAGACAGCTACATTTGCTACAAGACAGCTACATTTGCTACAGACAGCTACATTTGCTACAAGACAGCTACATTTGCTACAAGACAGCTACATTTGCTACAAAACAGCTACATTTGCTACAAGACAGCTACATTTGCTACAAGACAGCTACATTTGCTACAAGACAGCTACATTTGCTACAAGACAGCTACATTTGCTACAAGACAGCTACATTTGCTACAAGACAGCTACATTTGCTACTAGACAGCTAGATTTGCTACAAGACAGCTACATTTGCTACAAGACAGCTACATTTGCTACAAGACAGCTACATTTGCTACAAGACAGCTACATTTGCTACAAGACAGCTACATTTGCTACAAGACAGCTACATTTGCTACAAGACAGATACATTTGCTACAAGACAGCTACATTTGCTACAAGACAGCTACATTCGCTACAAGACAGCTACATTTGCCACAAAACAGCTACATTTGCTACAAGACAGCTACATTTGCTACAAGACAGCTACATTTGCTACAAAACAGCTACATTTGCTACAAGACAGCTATATTTGCTACAAGACAGCTACATTTGCTACAAGACAGCTACATTTGCTAGAAAGACAGCTACATTTGCTAAAAGACAGCTACATTTGCTACAAGACACCTACATTTGCTACAAGACAGGTACATTTGCTACAAGACAGGTACATTTGCTACAAGACAGCTACATTTGCTACAAGACAGCTACATTTGCTACAAGACAGCTACATTTGCTACAAGACAGCTACATTTGCTACAAGACAGCTACATTTGCTACAAGACAGCTACATTTGCTACAAGACAGCTACATTTGCTACAAGACAGCTACATTTGCTACAAGACAGCTTCATTTGCTACAAGACAGCTACATTTGCTACAAGACAGCTACATTTGCTACAAGACAGCTTCATTTGCTACAAGACAGCTACATTTGCTACAAGACAGCTACATTTGCTACCTGGTAGATAGTTTGACAAATAACTTTCAGCTGGAATGATTGCTTTGCTATAATTTGCCATCCCAATCTTAGTGGCCACTGGT